TAAGCGAATGTTTAGGCTTGGTTTGGCCTTAGCTTGGGCTTTGTCTTGGGCTTAGCTTAGGTTTTGCTTGGCTTAGCTTCGCCTTAGGCCTAGCTTAAGCTTAGATTAGGCTTAGCTTGGGCCTAGACTTGGGCCTAGGCTTGCGTCTAGGCTATCAAAAAATTACCTATCGTATTTTTACCAAGTTTAACTTTGCGTTTTTCTCTCTGTAGAAGCCATTTTCTTATAATTTTCACAAAGTGGCTCTTTTTCTGCCATCTTCCACTTTTTCTAAACCATCATTTTTTATATTGAAGTAATACCGTAATTCTTGGTTCCCTAGCTCCGTTAAATTCAATATAAGCCATAACTCCCATCGCTCCCTAATTTTATATTGCGAAAAAGTGTGTTCTCGTGTTGCGAGTTGCATAAAATGGTCCGATCGACCTCATCCTCCTCTCACTCCATCCCTCCCCCCTCCTCCCCAAATCATCTCCTCAATAACCGGCGGGCAAAAAACGGAACGCCGGCGGTCCGGCTGAACGCCTAGATAAGGTTCCCCCAAAATTCACACGGTTTTTGGAGGCAGTGATTTATTGAGGTTTGGTGGCGCAAGGTTGCATTTTCGGAAGATTGGAATCTCGGGACTCGATTTTCGGGGCAGGTTATGATGATTAGTGGCGGGTGTCGATTTTTGGTAACTTTTCTCGGAAATTTTTTGGACCGAGGATCCGGCCGCTGTCGTTTGTAGCCAGCTTTGGGGGAGTTTGAGCTTTGGGAAAATTGACGCTGAACCTCTACCTCGTCTCTCTCATCTATCGTCTGAAGCCAAGGCTTAGGCTTAGGCTTAGGTTCAGCTTAAGCTTGGGCTTACGCTTAGGATTAGGCTTAAGCTTAAGGTTTAGGTTTAGGCTTGGGCTTAGGGTTGGGCTTAGGGTTCGCTTAGGCTTGGGCTTAGGCTTAGGCATGGGCTTGGGCTTGGGCTTAACTGAGGTTTTGGCTTAGGCCTGGGCTTAGGTTTCGGCTTAGGCGCTCCAAGATGAACATCCAAGTTTTCATAGCCTAATGGGTTTTCTAAGTCTGCAAGATTCGACTTCTCATACTCTGATTTTTCCGAAAACCTAAGCTTGCTTAAGTTCTATACTAATTGCGCGATTTAAAATTGTAACATACCATAGGCTTTTTTAGTAGCTTCGGCTGTTTTCACTGACTTTTGGTCCAATTAGTTGCCGACCCCTTAAAATTGTTCCCCGTACAGTACCGTACAGTTTTTGAGCCCTAGAAAAACCCGAGGCATCTCTTGAAAAACATGTGGCCTGGGTCGTCGCTCACAGGTGTCCGTTTAGGGACATTTTGGAACGGATCGAAATGAAAACAGACAAATATGTCGGCTGACAGACAGCATGAACAGTAAGGTGCGAGAGAGATAGAGAGAGAGAGAGAGAGAGAGAGAGAGTGCGAGAGAGAGCGACAAAACAGAAGAACACGCATCAACCCCGATCCCTCATCATCTTGCGCGACAGGCCCATCTCGGGCCGTTCGGTCGAGCCGTGGCAGGAGCCTGAAGATTACGATCTTGACGCTCCCTAAAATTTGCTGTCCCCACCCGCTGGGTGGTGAAGAAGCCCATCTCGCAACACATACACACACAAGTAGACGGGGGCAGACGCATTCCGATACAGTACTCTTGACCCCGTGGGGGAAGATGGACGGACTCGCCCTATTTCGACAATGGTACAACGGTGGGCTTTATGTAGGGGTAGGGAATAGGGATTCGCTTACGACATGGAATTCGTGATTCTTGAGAGCTTTTCGGTATAAATAGGCTTGTAAATAAGTTTATCTTGTAATTTGGGAGCAAATATCCTTTGATTTTCAAGCTACGCCCTAGAAACGATTACGCTATGTAATGCTACACGAAAGTGCTTCTACAGTAACTTTTTAATGCGATTTTTATCGCCTTCAAAAGCATACCGTAACGCTTCCAAGGAAGCCCTGAACCATTTTGTAGCGTGCGCACAAAGTACGGGCGTCAAATGGAGCCCCGCGTAGCCGTATAAAACTACGAAACGCGCCAATCGACGCGTGAACTATGTGTTTACTACTTTTTCACTTCGATTATCTCTAAGACAAATTCTAAAAACTTTTAAGTTACATATTTTGCCCAGAAACCCGAAGACAAAAGAAAAAAGGGCCCGCCCAAAACACCATGTCGCTAATCGCGCAGCTGGACCCCAAAAAACATCCTTTCGCGCATTCCCCCCGCGCCAATCTTCACACTTCATTATGGCTCTCTGTACCCGGCGGAAAATGCCAAGCTATATGGCAACAAATAGCCCCCATCTCGCTACCTTTTCCATCCCCCTTGCCACACGAGTGTCCATAGAAATGGTGCGGAAAGGGCGCTAGCGCTGGCTGGCCGGCCGCTTGGGGTGACTGCTTCGAGTCGGGGGACCCCCGCCGACTTCTCATTGGCTTGTTCTCGACCCCCGTTGAGAGGGAGATGAGTCAGGGATGGCACCAACAAAAGGACGAACACAATCGGGTCGACGACCCTGGGCACCCACTCGTTTGTATTCATCGCCTCGTAGTACCACACTTTTTATGGTGGCGGCACCGCACCAAGGGATTTCCGCCGGCAGGTGAAATGCCATTTTTTAAGCATCTGCGCCTTTATCGGCGAGATCTAAGGATTTTTCCGGGGTTTCGATAAGGCTAAAGCTCATCTTGACACTAATGAAATAGTGAAATTCTGAATTTTTGCGTGAAAATGTTACATTTCATAGTTTGAAACCGTACCGAAGCTTCACCAATGTGCTAGACTACGCCTCGCTCCACGGAACGGTTGAATCGTCTGCGGATGTCGCGGATTTTCATCCCGCTGCCATTTTTTAATGTACAGTACAGCTTTAAAGGGTTTGAACGGGGTTTTTGGGGTCTAGAACACGATTTCGTACGGCTACTATGGACGCTAAAAAAGTACTTACAAGACGCAGCTCGAAAGTCAAGTTAAAGACGGGTTTTCTGAAAAAAAAAACCTGGTTTTAGATCAGAAAAAGATTTTTTCAAGCAGGCTTCCTACTGGGTGTTTTTATAAAATGGGCGCGAAAGGGCGTAACCAACGGCTTGCCTGGATTTAAAAGAAGCTGGTTTCCTTATTTTTGACGTCAAATTAAGAATTTCGATCAAGAAGCCGGGTTTTCAAAAACAAAATAAGTAAATATCTTTCTCAAAACCCGAGAAATAACCCCGGGTAATCCTTATCATCCATTCTCCCCCAGATAACCCAAAATCCCCGGGGAAGCAGGTGTGCCCCAGCCAACCCCCGAAATCCGAATCGCAATTCAAAAATGGCGGTCCCCGTATTTCTGGGGATGTCCGGGTGGTGCGGCATTTCAGAAGTGACGCCCGAGGGGGCACACCTTGGGAGGGCGCCTTTAACCCCACACCAATTACCACCAATAATTCCCTTAGCCGAAAGAAGTTTCAAAACGATCACCGCCTTTCATAAATTAACCGCCCCACCCAGCCGCCCCCCATAGAGACACCCTAGCGATGCTGTTAATGGCCATAACCACTTCATTGACACGGCACTCCTCCGTGGTTCCATCATCCAGCCCATACTACCGTTGGTATCTACATATTTTTGACGCCATTCAATTATCACAATGCTGGATATGGTCTCACTATGGCTCACAAGTCTCCAGAACGGCTCGATGATGCGCTTTGGTAAGCTACTGCTACGTTGGCGTACGTTCACCTCGGCCTTCCCCTTTAGAAGGCTCGGTTCCTACCCTAAATATCGAATGAAAAGGTTTAGAATGTGTCTTATAAACCGTAGGAGTAAAAACATAGTAGTAAGCAGATAGTTCATGCGTCGATTGCCCTGTTGCGTAGTCATATGCGGCTACGCGGAGCTCCATCTGACGTCGGTACTGCGTGCGGAGGGGAAAGGGCAATTTCGCGCACCGTAAATTGAACAAATTTTGGAGCGTTTTAAACCTTTTTTAGGTAGGCTCGTAAAAAAATTATGAAAATTACCAAAAAGATTATTTGTTCTTTAAAATACCTAAAAAATGAAAATTTTTAAAGAATGTAGTTTGCTCAAAAACCCATGAAAACCCCCCAAAAAACCCTATTTTCTTACTAGTTCGGTAAATAAAATAAATTGCGTATTTTTATAGGCTAAATGGGTTATGATCTCTATAGCACAGCTTTTTTTCCTGCCCAAAAATTCCTTATTAACTAACCCTGACCCCCAGCGTCACGAATGACGCACCCAATTCCGCTACAGCCAAAACAGACATATAGAACGTGCAGACCCGCCGGCCTAGGATGCCATTGTTTCCGGTCTGGCACTGGCCCCAAGCCCTCCTATCTGCTAACTACCATAGGTACACCAAAAATCAAAAGCCCGGAATTTGCCGCGGGGTGTGATAGTCGGGCGTATAGTCTCTCACCGGCTCCCCGCCGACTGGCTGTATCAACCGGAAACGGGTATTTTCGAATTGTCCCCCCACATCGCCTTGCCTCACTCCGCTCCTCCCTTCGTCACACTCATCTTATCACACCCAACACCCCCACAAAAGCGATCCCCTTTTTGACACATGGCTTCGGAGAGCAATTTAAACATTGAGGATTAGCTTGTTGTTATCTTTGGAAAAAGAAATAGGGTAAAATTGAGCATGATTCAGATTTTTTACGCGATCGTAGCTATTACCTAAGTCCACTTAGTTTTTGTCCAATCTCTCCAATGTTAAAAACTGCGCTTTCCTAGGGCTACAAAAACTTGTTGTGGATTGACCATAAAACCAGAATCCGCCGAAATATTGGACAAAAACCAGCCCCCTATGAGTTTTCCCCAAGAAAACCACAAAAAAACGTAGTCCCAATTGGCGACAAACAATTTGCATCTGCCAAATCTACGTACTTCCGCTTTTTGAGCCCGAAATTTGCATGCGGGTAGTCAGCTTCTCGGAAATCCGTACAATTACCTTATTCTCCACCGCTTGCGCGACTCCATGAGCTACCGCCTGCTCGAAGCGAGCGAGTCCAACCCGGGCTATGGGCACCAGTCCGACGGGCGCCTCCGCCGCTACATTTATTACGGTCCTTTTTTGGTTTTTTTAGATCTCAAAAAGGAAACTAAGAAGTTTTTGGAAAGTCACGCTTTTTTGCCTTGTTCCGCACTACACTCGGAACGAAATTGCGTCCATAGTAGCGTCGCGTTGACCGTTTGCGGTTTTTACGAAACCTCGCAGATACGGATTGTTTTTGGGTTCCTTTAGCAAATGCCTCTTTTTTTCTTTTCGTTAGCTTATAATCGTATCGATTTGAAATTTGCAGCTCTATTTTTAAAACTATAACATTCCGGGACTGACGTCGCAATTGCTGACAATTCGTGGCGACCAGGCCACTAATCAGAAACCCCCCGTTCTCTCTCCCCAACCCGCCTTCTTCGATTATTTGATCGACCACTTTCATACTTCGTAAATCCATTCATCCATTCATTCTCGACCCCCTCGGCCGGCTCTCTCTCCTACCATCCCGAATTCCCATGTTTTTGTTTCTGGTCTCGCGTGCCCCCCACCCGCCCGCACCTCCGCTGACCGGCGCCATTGACGCCATTTTTCTGCGGAGGCGGCCCGAAAATGGGCAAAATTCGCACGGCTTGACCCGTTTGTAACAAGAAACGTGAATTTATGGCCTATTACGGATGCTTTCATACCCTTATCGAGCTTTGAAGCCTTACGGCGATATTTAGGACGCTAACACCCTTTTGGGGGTGTCGCAATTGACAATTCGCAATGTCCGCCGACGAGAATCGGTTTGTTGATGTACTGTCGGACGCCCCCGCTCGCGCGCGCAGTGGCGCTGCCTTGTGACAATCTCCTCCATTTCAACTTTCCCCACCGTTCTTCCCCGCTTTCTTTCGATCACCCCCCATCGGCCGGCTATATTGATCTGATAAGGGACGGCTTGTCCCCCCATCCTGCTGCTCAACAGGAAGTGACTCCCCGCGGGCCCACCACCTCTCGTTTTCAGCCCGTTATCGCTGGCCAACGGGCCACCCTGGCCGTCCTTTTTCGAGCTTTTCCCCCTCCCCCGACCCCCAAGATGGCTTCCGGTACCCCGGGATGATCATTGCTCTCGGTTTTGCGTGCCTGGATTGGAATTTTGGCCTTTCTAGATAGTTTGTAATTTTCTCGTTACTTGACTTTGCTCTTGAAATATCTATGTTTTTGCGTCTTATTGTAGGCATCCAAGGGCGAATTGAACCTTTTTGGGAAACTATGATTAGGTGTAACCACTGACCCTCATAATTGGTGAAAAACTTTGGGGCTTGGGGGGGTGGGGTTTTAGGTCATTTTGGGCTAATTAGTCGTTTTCTCTGGCTAGGCTTGGCTTAGGCTTCATAGGCTTGGAGTTGGGTCAGGTTGGCTTAGGCTTAGGCTTAGGCGGGCTGAACTTAGGCTAGGCTTAGAACTGGTTTAACCTAGGTTAGGCCTATGCTTAGCCTAAGCCTTAATCTGGTCCTTAGCTTGGCTTCGTCACAGCATCACTGCTTTTGGCTTCGACTTAGCTTTGTTCAAGCTCAATTTAACTGTGCTTCGGCTTAGCTTAGCTTAGGAGATGAGTATTGCGCTGGATTAGCCGACAAACGGTCAGTAGCCAAAAAATGGCCCCCCAACTTCAATAGTACCAAAACTTCTTGCGAGAAAGAATTATGAAACCGACCGGCCTTGGCTCCGACTTTATCTGACCTATGAATCATCCCGCTTATTGATTAGGGGACCAAATGAAAATGAATGGGTCTTGAAACCGCCTATATTTTGTTTTCCCCACTTCCAGGATCTACTTACTAATCTCGACCTTTTCAGCCGGAACTCCCGTGTGCGGCCCCAACGGCACGAACCCCTTCTCCTTCAACACGCTGTCGCCGTTGATGAACCAGCAGAATGTCGCGTCCCTGGGCGCCACCTCCTTCATGCCGTCGCCCTCCGGCCTCTCCAGCGTCAAGGACGAAGCGGAGGTGTGTTTTAGGGATTTTTGCTTACACAGCTATTTCGTCAAAAATCCTGAATTTGTTATAGGATAACTACTCCTACTGCCAGCCCAATCTCTCGCCATCTATGCTCACCCCAGTGGCTCCCGGCGACACGAACATTACTCTCTGGCAATTTCTGTTAGAACTTCTTCGGGGCAACGAACGCCGGGACCTCATCCAATGGACTGGGGTTGTCGATGGCGAATTCAAGGTAATATTTTGCATCGACTGGAAAAATGACTAACTGATTCAGAAGTTTTGTTTTATTTTTAAATTTTATGCCTATTTTTTCTAAATTCAAACTAGGCAAAAAAAAAGTGCCACCCAACCTTCTTAGCTCACAAAACTCTTGAATTTTAGTTGTTGGATGCTGAAGCCGTCGCCAGGCTCTGGGGCCAGCGCAAGTCCAAACCGAACATGAACTACGACAAGCTCTCCCGCGCCCTCCGCTACTACTACGACAAGAACATAATCAAGAAGGTACTACTCTATCCAAGTATACGAATTCATTGCTTAGGTGACCGGGCAAAAGTTCGTCTATCGTTTCGTGCCCGGGGGCAGCGACCTGCCGCCGCCGGCTCCTATTCCCGCCTATGTGAGGAATATGAGCCCAGCCCCGAAGCCGGAAAAGAAGAAGCCGGTCATCCAGCAGCACTTGGTATGCCTTTCGCACCTAAATTATCATTAACTGTTTTTGCAGGCTCCTACGAAGCCGAGAGCGTTCCAGACGAAGGGGGAGGAGATGACCTTCTTCAGTCAGCCGCCGTTCAGCTTGCCGCTGCCGATGGTGCCCGAGCCAGCGCTTCCGCAGCTCTCGCTCAAGCCATCTGGCCTTATGACGGTTTCAACGCCTTCTCCTGCCGAGAGGTGAGATTTGTCTTTATTTTCAAGCTGACTTTTTTGTGGTCGTTGAACCGGTTAAAAACGATGTATTTTTCAGCCACTGCAGCCCGAACAGCGTCGGCAGCTCGTCGGGCGTGTCTTCGGGCGGCGAAAGCAGCCAGACGATGTGCCCCTCGGGCGCCGCGTCTCGTCCGGCCTCCAGCCATCGCCAACCATTGCACATCGGCTCGCACACGCCCACCGACGAGGAGAACCAGCCGCCGCATCTCGATTCTGCACGTCGCACCCCGTCGGCTTTCGGTGTTCCCGATCCATCCACTTCTATCGAGCAATCGGTAAGCCATGTTACCTTTTGCGCTCATTGTCGAAAATTGCCTAGCTTTAAAGGGATGCGTAAGACAAGCGTTTGATTTTTTTTGCTATGGATTTCATATGGATTCGACCAATTTTGGTTGCATTAAATTCCAAGATTTTATTGAATTATCCCTCTTTTCAGCCTGTTTCCCGTAAGCGCAAGCTCGCCGAACCGGCACCGATCAGCCGCTCCGACTCGACGCAGAGCCGCAAGCCGCGCCCGGATCCGTTGAACCTGACCGGCCTGGCCGAGCCCGAGCCATCGCCCACCTCCAGCCTCAACGACGCCCTCAACGCATCGAACAACCCATTTGCGCCGTCGAGCTCGTCGATGAACCTGCTGCAGTCGCCCTTCCAGCTGTCGCCTTACATCATGCAGGGAATGCTCTATCAGGTGCGTTTTTCAACAAAATTATCCCCGCAATAAGATGTCTCTCTTGTACCTTTTCACGTGCCTTTGACCATTAAAAATTTTGATTTCAGGCTGCTCTGTCGGCTTGTCTGCCGCCGTCGCCGTTGGCCAGCTTCTTGGCGAACTCTCCGTACCTGGCCAGCCCGATCGGCCGTGCGCCGCAGGTCTTCCAGTTCCCTCCGTCGTCCGGATCGGCGACGTCCCTTTCGACGGCAGTTTCCACGGCCCTGCTCTCCCCGGCGGTACGAATCTTAATTTAAACTAATTTTGAGATGTTTTTTTAAAAGTATTTCCTAAACTTTACCTTTTGCAGATGTTCGGTCTTGGCACCAACCCGTCGTCCCGCATTGTGGAGGAGCTGCGCACCCCAACGGCCCTCCGGACCCCGGTGATCCCGCCAAACACATTCAAGGTACCGCTTCTATCAGCAATTCTACATAATATCAGTTTTCTTAGATTGAGAACGCCTAATGACGAACGTTTGACATCAGCACTTCCGAGCCTCATCGCCATCCACGAGCCCGGGTCCCCACCGACTGTGCGCTTGTTGCTGAACAAGTCATCCACCACACGCCACCACATTTCTCGTTTCGTCAGTTGTTGTCTGCCGTAGCATGTGTGTGTATTTCTTTTCCTTCTGCTGGCTCTCTTTTTTCGTCTCGATGTTTCTTTGTGCACGGGCATGACTGTATCCCTTATCTCTCCTACCCTCATTTTTCGGTTAAGGTAATTCTATTTAGCACCCCCACCTAGCAATTGGGTTCTGCACCTCGCGCGCGCCTTGCCCCTCAGCTCTAGTCCCAAAATTCTGCGCTCTGCCCTGGGCTTCGCTAATGTAATGGGCCCATGTTTCTTTGTGTTGATCTCTGCCCGGGAGATGAGCTCTTTGTTCGTAGCACTAACCCCCGATTTAAAGTGTGTCCCCTCTTACTAATGAAATTACATGCGATACAGTACTATTCCTCTCCCACCCTGACTTTGCACGACTGCAATGCATTATTCTCTAATCCGCAACGGTTCCCCCGGTTTTTGTGCGCATTTAAAAAATGTTTGCCGGAAGCGCAGTGTTTTATTTGAATCGTTTTGTGCTGGAGATAAACCTTTTTTGAAACGCTGCTTCCTCCGCCAATGAGAAACGTGATTGTGAATACTCCACTAATGTGCCTTGGCCAGCGATTTTCGATTCCGAAAACTCCGCCGCTTGCCGTTTCATTTCCCATCGGATTTACTATGTGTTTTCGTGGTTACATATGCACTGACGAGATTTTATGCTCTTCCTGCCTCTTCCCTTCCTTCCCGGATTGTTTGGTTAAATAGAGAAAATAAAAAAGTTTAGATAAATTCTTATCACATTCCACAAAAGCAAGACAGGCGAAAAACACAGCGGCACATCCCTTGCAGCAGCCCGGGGCGAAATTGACGGCCATGGTGCTCGGAGCTTCTGGCGGGGGAAAGGACAAATAGCCCGGTGTTATTAGCTAGCGCAAACAGAAGTGTTCGGGTGCGGAAGGTGCCAAGGGCCCCATCGCTCCCGCTTCCACATCCGCATTCCCACGGTAAGCCGCAGGCGGGAAGATCCGCGTGGATTCGAATATGCGTCGTTTTGCCGCGATTTTTCAAGGAGTTCTCGAGGAGGTGAAGCTGTGGATGACGTTTCCAGGGATTCGGACGACATGCAGAGAATGCAAGGAGTACAGCCGTACGGAGGAGTGTGGCGTTTCTCATTTAGCGACAATTGGCAAATATCGTTGGTATTAGAAGATCCTAGCTAAAATTTGTATATAACCATACTTATAAAAATACTTATAAATAAAATGTGTACTGCTACAATGTAAAATATACAACGAATTAGTAATTTTTACGTATTAGAGCATTTTTTAACATAAAATCGCGCTATTATCGAGTGTAAATACTTCTAAAGATCGGCAGTTCGAAACTTTTACGAACCTAACCGTGCGACATTTGCTAATTTTTTAAATAGAAAAGGACCTTTGAATTTTTTTTGCGGAAAAGCCTGATAATCTTTAGATTCGTGCGCAGTTTTCTTTGCTATCTTTTTTTGAAGCTGTGCAGCACAAAGCTAAAGCCTTGAAGCCGATATCGCGATCCCCAACAAAACTACTGCGCAGAAAAACACTTCTTGGTGATGTGGCGCCATAGCGCGCGAGCTCTTTTTCAAGTCCATCTTCGATTCGGCGGCCGAAACCCGATCCTGAGCCGACGACGACGATGCTTGGGGCCAGCCGGGCCACCGATAGATAGGCTTGCACCCCCGTGCGCACACATATCACCAAAAAAAACGCCGGCACCACTACGCTCTAATTGGGAGGCCCCCGACTACGGTACCCGGGGTGCAAAATATTCTGGAAGGTGGTTGCGATGGATTTTTTTGTTCTTCAGTTTTATAGCTTTTTCCTTGGCTTTTATAGGCTTGATAAGGTAAAATTTACGTATTTTTCATTACTGTGTTTTATAGCTTGCTTCGGGCATTATGAGCATCATTGAAGTTCCTTAGGAATTTTCGCGCTATTTTAACCTTTATAAATTACGAATTCTTCACGTATTTCGGCTAATATTAACCTTTCACCCCTTAAATTTTTGCAGAAGAAGAAGAAAATTCATTCTCCGATTCGCGGCACTGGGTCAATATTTTTTTTCGATGGGGCTAAACCGAAAAAACTGCAAGCTGACCGGGGCTTGTCCAAATATTTGGCGGTGGCGCCGTCCGATTTCCAGCAGTTGGGTCCTCTGATGATGATTTACGGTGCTTGGGAGAAGACCAATTGGAACGAATCAATTTTAAAATCGGTATTGTTGAAAATTAGCAAAAACGGATGTGAAAAAGCCTCAGTTTTCACAAAATTTGTCTTAAACTTTTGGCCTTTCATCAAATTTTTCAAGGTAGCTAGACTCGGCGTTTTCTGGGCTTTCGGATGATGTAAAAATCATTTGAATCCGATTCTCCCACGCGGAGATAGAGCGATTTCCGCTGGCCCTCTGCATGGAGCAGTCGGTAGAGTGGTCGCCTCTAAAATTCAGGATGAGGGTTCGAACCCGACCGACGACGAACTTTTTGCTTTTGCTCCAAAGGTTATTAGCTAGTCTCTCGCTGGGTCCCTGAAGTTGCGCGCGCGTCTCAAACAGTATCATGCACAGCGGGTGCGCGGAATGTGGCCGGGTACGGGCCGGGGTGCGGCTCGAGCAGCTTCTGTGTGTACACCCACAGGGCCACAGGGAGGGAGGGACCCTTATGCAAATCCACACGCAGCCCACACAAACCACAGTACGGACAGACAGAAGCGGAAGCACGGGCTCTTCCATACACACTCGCTAGACTAGATGACAAGATTCTGGCTGGGGGATTCATTAGTTTGGTTGTGGAAAATTCCGGGATTACGATATTTTTATTTCAATTTTTTCTAACTCTCTCGATCAGTCTAGTCTCTCGACCTCGCTCTCTCTCACTCACGCTCTCTCTCTCTCGGCGTCTCTCTCACTCTCGCTGTCTCTCTCTCTCACTCACTCTCTCGCTCTCGCTCTCTCTCTCTCTCTATCTCTCTCTACCTCTCGCTCTCTCTCTCTCACTCTCACTCTCTTAGTCACTAATTTCTCCTAAATTTTCAGCACACAGCTGGCTGATCGGGAGCTCTAGCTCAGATCCATGCCATTACCCTTTTCTCGCGACCCGGTGGGCTCAAGGAGTTTTTGGGACCATGGTCCATATGCCATCCCCATCCCAGATTCCGTTTTACACCTTGTGAACGGATTTTCATGCTAGTCACGGCATTTAAAGGGACGCACAAGGCAAAATTTTATGGATTGGTGTCGATTTCTGGTCGCAAAATTGTGTTCTCCCGGCCTTTAAAGCTTAATGTGACGCTTTCTGGTTTCTTCTTCCGTTCTCTCTCTCTCTCTCTCTCTCTCTCTATCTCTCTCTCGCTCGCTCCATCTTCATCTCTCGCTATCTCTGCCACCGTTTCTCTGTTTCTGTCTTTCGCGGTCGATCTCTCGCGCTCTCGCGCTATATATTTTTCTCGAGCTCCCTTGCTATCCCTCTCTATCGCTGTCTCTCCCTCTCTCTTCCACTCTCTCCCTCCCTCTCTCTCACTCTCTCCCATCTAAAATTTCCGGTCCCTTTAAAAGCCCCCCGTTTTGGGGGGGTGTGAGGCAATTTGCGAGTGGGTGGTTGGTTTCTGAGTTCAGCAGTTGGGCGGGAAAGCCTCCCCGGAGGCTGTGCAACGCGATCCCTAAAGGTAAATATCGGGGGGGGAGAAGCAGCACCAACCACATCGCCACTCCGCCCCGCACAACCCCCAATCACTGGCTTTCAGACAGACAGAACGACATATAGACAGACAGACAGACAGACAGACAGAGAAACCTATGATCGACACATCTGACAGAATGGAAAATGGACACAAAACGGACGATCAGACAGAAACGGATAACTTGTTTCTGCAGGATTGCGCCCCTTGGTGCAGCACTATTTTGCGCCTATATTCGTAGATTTACGTCTTCCCAAGGATCTCTGCTAGATTGCCTGCATTCTATTTTCTTGTACTAGTGCATTAGCAAGGCGGCCTGGGTCTACCGTACCCCAGTCCTGCCGAATTCCGATTATTCTCCAAGGACCTCTGGCGAATTTCCCAGGCCATCGAATCGTCCGTCTCATCCGTTGGGGGCAGCTGTTTGCCCATTGGCCCCCGCGTTTTCCGCTTCCTTCCTATCGACGGCCTCTTCAGGGAGCCCATCCAAGCCGCTCCAACTTACGCGCGCTTCTCTTTTTGCGTCATCAATTTGCAAAATTTTACTTTAGCTTCGGCTTAGGAGTGAGCATTGGCTTAGGCTCGGCTTAGTTAGGCTAGGCTTCGATCTAGGCTTAGGCTTAGGCTAAGGCTTAAGGTTAAGCTTAAGCTAGGGCTTAAGCTTAGGTTTAGGCTCAGGCTTGGGTTTCATCTTGGGCTAAGACCTAGGCTTAGCTAAGACTTAACTTTAGGAGGTACATCTAAAATTCAGCAGGATAACCCAAAAATTTCTCCTTCCAGCTCTCCAAAAACTGTAAAAAAATTTCTTAGAGAACGTACTCGAGCCCGACACTTTGTCTTCTCTGTTGTTTTGATTGAATAGCGGACGAGAGAGCGAGAGGTAGCGAGAGAGAGAGAGAGAGAGAGAGAGAGAGAGAGAGACAGAGACAGAGAGCGTCTTCTGTATCCTGTGAAGTCGACCCGTCTATGGGCTGGGGCTTCTTCTGCTACTGCTTGTTACTGTTAGGTAGCATTTCGATACGTTAAATTTCCATATCTCTCACTATATCTCTCTCTCTCTCTCTCTCTCTCCTTTAAAACCCTCTGCCTGCAGGTCCCGCCCCGTTAAAGCTTAAATTTTCGACTTCCCGGTCCCTTTAACCAGTTTCTTCCATGTCACCGTCCCTTTAAAATGTTCCCAGGGCCGGTAACAAAACCCCTGCC